TAGCCTCCAAATCACTCAGATTCCCCAGGGCCAAAGAATCTGCAACAGGGAAGTACACAAGCATGCATATACAGACCCCAGCACAACACAGAAGGGCGAGAAAAGCTGTGAAAGCAAGAGCTTCAAAAAGAAGTCGCTCTGGCTCAGATAAAACCGATAGCCCCAGTAAAATGACCCTCAATGGGAGGAAACTCGAAACCGAGAATATTAGGGTATATACTCTCTTCTGAAGACCCTTGTTGATGACCAACTTCAAGATGCGCCTTCCTAGCCAGAACAGGTAGAGGGTAAGCACGGTGGCAAAGATCCCAAGGAGGATTGTGTTTAGTAAAGGGTAAGTACAGAGGGCAACAACAGCACTGCTCTGTGTTGTAGATGTAGCTGTGCTGGTAAAGTAAAGGGGCAATCTCATCAAGGTAGCCTCATCTTTGCGCAATTGAGGCCCAATCAGAATAACACAGAGTTGAAGTACAAACACTGGCAGGCAAAACAGAAGAACATATCCTGCTGTCTTCCCATTCCATTTGTGACCTAAAATTCCAGAATCCATCTTCTGTAAGGGAGCCCTCAGGAGAAACACGAGTGTGAGGAACAAGCATGGCTCTGCAAACCCGAGATTCGAGATGATATAACCCTTGCAGACATTTTCCTGCCATTTGTAGTCAAGGGTATTCAACACCCTCCCTTCACGTCTCAGGAAACTCAACCGTACAATTTCACCAAAAGCCCACCAGATGACAAATATAATGAAGGTGATTCGGATTATCCAAGGACCACTGAAGTAGCTGAGCAAGTCCTGATTACGAACGCGTGACCGGAAATAAAACGAGTAGACAATGCATACGAGACCGAAGATGATCAAGAGAGCTACTAGACAAATTGTAACCACACCGAACACATCGGCAGCAAATCTCGTCAGGGGCATCACCCGAAACACAGATCCCACGCATGCTCTCAGCCAGCATGGATACAAGGAGTCCTCAAGAGTAATTCGTAGATGCTGCTTTCTTCCCAGGATTATCTTCTTTTCAGTAATAATAGTGCATGCCTGTCACAATACATTCTTCACTTGAAACTGGTCAAACCCCTCATTCGCAATCACCATGTGCCACTATCCCTTTCCTGGGTCAAAAAGCTCCAATTGTGATGTCACACACCTGTGTAATCCAAGGTGCAATCAGTAAATTCTCGGTGCTTAATTTCTAGGAATGGCACAATCTGAGAATGTCTATTAACCAGTGAAACAACTGCAAGAAGAAGAAGCAGGTAGTCAGCAAAACAGCAAGATTTGAAAAGCATGAAGCAATTTGAGGCAAAGCATGAAAGGAACTATGATAGATAATATCAGCAGAATATAAACCAGATCATTAAAGCAAAGTACAGCAAACCAACAATGACCCTGAGAAGTTATACCACTCCGTTATTACATCTACAACAATCCAAAGTTCATCTATATCCATGGTTTATAACAACATTTCATTGCTGCTGCATCAAGACAAATATCTGCAACTAGGGAGCAAGAGCAATCAGTAATGTATGTTGCAAAAGACTATTCAGCAACCCTTGGACAAAGCAGGAGTCACTGATTCATTTAACCCACTATCCTACAACAATGCTCTATGCTGAACACATCTTCAGCACAGAAGCTCACAACATTTCGATTCCCCTAGGCTCTAACCACTCACCAATTTCACCAGTATCTAATAGATCTTCACAACACAATTCATGAACTCCCGACAATAGAAGTGGGCAATTAGTAGACAATGAGCAACAAAAGAACCCGGGCAGGCAGGCAACACAACATCAAGCACTCAATCAAACATAATTAAATCTAACTCTCTCCAAACAAAACCCTCTACGAATTTGGTACCAGAGGAAAACCCCCACTTCAAAAAACCAGAACCCAGACTTTTGGGCAAGGAAATTAGGGTCCAATTGGAAAGAAGAGTACAAACAGGAAGCACCGGAAAACCAAAAACTGACATTGACGCATTCTCAGCCCAAAGCACATACGACGGCCAGCAAGAAAAATTCCCAGCAAAGCAGCCGAGAAGAGAGAAAGAAGAAAAAAATTACCCAACCAGGAAAAAGAAGCAAACCCCCAAACCATACATGCAAAGCCCTTGCCTTCGGGGGGCAAACGAAAAATTAGCAGCGGAGACGAGGACGAAAGCGGGAAAATTCATAATGAATAGAGAGCTTACGGAGCAAGGAATCTTGATCCACTCACCGTCGACAGAAAATCGGCGAATCCCCGGATGGGATGGATGAAACCCTAGCCGGAAAACGCAAAAGGGGGAAGGGAGAGAGAGAGGAGGAGCAGACAGAGAGCGAGGGGCAACAGACGGGGAGAGAAAGACAGAGACGAGAGGAGAGGGGGGAGAAGAAAGAAAGAGAGAGAATTGCGAAGGAAAAATAGAAAGAGAGAGAGAAGGAACGCAGTTAGGGGAATCGCTGAGTGGGACTTTGTTGGTGACAGCCTGTCTCCAGCTGTGTTTAGCTCCGATCCAGTTGGTTCGGATTGTCACAAACCGCTGCTTCGGATTACACTCCGTTCCTACGTGGATCTGCCTTGGCGGCGTTTACGGCGAGTGTCGTTTTTCTCTTTTTTTTTTTCCTATTTATTTCCGCGGTTGTTCAATGCTTTTTCTGTAATTTGCTGTGATTGGTTGCCGGGTTAACGTTGCCGGATTAGTTCCTGCCGTCGCTTATTGCTTCTCTAGAAAGAAAATGATCGACTAAGGTAGTGTCAAGGCTGATGTCATAGATGATAAAAGTAAGATGACAAAATTATACATAACTGTGGATATCCGTCCGAATCCGCGCTAATCGGGTAAGGTAAAATTCGGGTCAAGGACTTTTAGTGGTACGGATGAAATTTGAACTCGAATATTACAGGATAATTAGTGGGCATGGTTTTCTCACAATCCAACTCGAACCCGTCCGATTATACACATGGATATGTATTTTGTCTATAAATAGTCACTATTTTTCTCTAAAGATATTTTATTTTACATATAAATATAATATTTTTATGAAATCTTGTTGTTTTAATTAATTTTCTTCATTCTAGCGAATCATTATTTACTTTTCCCCTTATGTAATGTGGGAATACGTGTGAATGTTAATGTATTGGTTGAAGTTATAAAGAGAAATTATTAGTCATGGATAACCGTGGATACCCGAACCCCGAACGGGTATGGGCATGGTTTTGATTTTCTACCCGTGTTTTTATGTTGGTATGGGTAAAACCCGAACTACTTTGTGGTCTTTGGGTAGGGTAACGGATATGCACTATCCGCCCCCGACCCGACCCATTGTCATCCCTAAAAGTAAGTGTGATCCAAATATCAATATAGTCGATTTTAATTTCATTTATTAAATTATTCTGACTTCTGAGTTATTAAATATGCTATAAAAGAATGGATTGAACATGTGGAAAAGAAGATGGAATACAAACACGATTTAAGGTCACGTCTGGAGTTCTCAATTAGAAAGCTATCATGAGGATTCTTAGAGGGGAGGCGGAATTGGAAAACTTTTGGACTTGGGAACTTGCTAATGAAGGCAACTTTTAGTTAAGACTGGCTACCACACGGTGCATATGGCCACTCCCGATTCCCAACCCATGGGAACCACTGATAAATATAAATGTGTCTGGAGCGTCAAGCGTGGACCTACCACCTAAGCTTGAGGTTTTCATCTGAAGATGTTCCAGCCTCCAAGAACGATTTAGCAACAAAGGAGAGGCTTCTACATAAAAACTGCTCCCCCAACTCGACTTGCCCAGTGTGTCAGAACCAAATGAGTCATTAATACATTGCATCTTCTCTTGTGGTCACACGAGTAGCTCCTGGAACATCATACCATCTCTCCCCCCTCCCCATAAGCTACAAATTTCCTCGGGTGGTTCTACTTTCTCAAAGATACCCTCCACCCTCGATCCCTATTTCACATTATCTTCCTTTGTCAGAATATCTGGAAGACAAGGAATGAATGCACTTTCAAAAATCGAAACTCGTGGCACCGAATATTTGTATGCAAGCACATAAGGACTTTATTCGGTGGATGACGTGCCTAGGGATACCTCTCCTCAACTTTAGGGAGCCCAACCACATATTGATCCACCACCAAGCAATCACTCGGTAGTAATTCACCATGTTGGGTCATTTATAAAGAACTCATAGTTACCGCCCTATGATGTTGTGGTTATTAACCATCATGGACAAGTATGCGATAGGCGAGCTGATACCCTCCTTTATTCTATCCCTATTGAAGGTGAAAAGAAAGATCTCAAATTAGCACACGAATATGGCTTTAAATGTGTGGCTAAATCAAACTGCTACGTCTTAGGTGGAAGCACTCTCAAAAGATTCTCATAATTGGCCTTAGCGGGGAGTTGCCTGGATATGAACAATAGTCTCGATCTAAAAAATGAACCACAAATCAAGGTCAATGCGGTGTTAAGAAACTTGAATGTTAGAACTGATTGGGTCGCTCACTCACTTGCTAGATAATTTCGAACAAATAACTTGATTAATTTCTTGATCTAATTTTTTTTATCTCCATTAAGGTGTAACCTCATTTCTAGTATAAAAAATGAATGTAATGGAAGCATGCATAAAACAAACTACATATTAATATTCTCTCAAAAGAAACCCAGTATGGAATTCACAGGGCATGATTGACTGCAAAGTTCAGTTTTTGGTGCACCCTTGTATCACCCCGCCTATTTTGCACTGACATAAAAACAGCTAAAGCAAAACACGCCTTACTGAGGCATCAACCTATTCCCCCATTAAACAGATACAATGTAGTCAAAAGCGAGTTTCTACGTAGAAACGTTTTGGTGATCTAGAAGCGTAAAATCGTAAGTTTTTAAGTTTTAATGTGGAGTTTTTAACTACATAAGCTATAAAAACTAAGATTTTGTGTAGAAGCGTTTTAGTGATCTAGAAACGTAAAATCGTAAGTTTTTAAGTTTTAAAGCGCGATTTTGACTACATTGCACAGATAGAACCAACATCAAGAAATCATATCATACTTAGAAGGTCCCAAGTCCTAACAGCTAGTTAAACAAGTAATATTTGGAAAATATAAGAAAACAAGTCCTGAAAACACATATGTGCACAAATATATCTAAGAAAACTGTACTAAGAGAGGAATCAATACACTTAAGTTCGAGATTATCATAGTCTACAACTCCACCTTCATAGAAATCAACTAGAAATAGCTCATAGAGGAACCAACACAATTAAGCCCAAGGTTGCTACAGTCTACAACACCATCTTCATATAAATCAACTAGAAATAGTTCACAACATAAAGGGCAGTAAGTAACTATCAAGTCTTTCTAGAAAAAACAGTACAGTAGAATAATCTTCAGAGAGTTCTAATCAAACTAGATTCTGGTCCTGAAAGCTTCAGAGAGAATTCTAGAGCATGTGAGATAGTTGCCTACGCTTTCTTGAGACTTTTTAAACTAGAGAGGATCTTGGTCGATCGCATACATCTACGCAAAAGCTTAAGCAACTGCATCAAAATGCCTTTCTATCTTGCGTTAGGGTGATAACGACTACTACCACTATAGCCTCCCCGACCATATAGACCACCACCTGGTCCTTATCCATAACTAGAACCTGGGCCAGATTCATATCCACCACCATAACCACCTGAACCTCCATAACTGCCATACCCATCACCCCCTCGATCGTACCCTCCTAACCCACTACCTATCACCATAGCCTCCACTAAAGCCAGTGCCATAAGGTCCAAATTGACCTGAATAACCAAGTGAGGATTCACCTTAGTAACCTCCAATGCTACTATCTCCAAAGTTCCCATAACCACCACCACCACCTCCATATTCTCCATCCTCATTACCATAGCCATACCCACCACCACCAAGCCTACAGCCCATACCCCAGGTGTTCTATAAGGACCAGGGCCAAACCCCCCCTCAAAACCCCCATATGGACTAGCATATCCACCAGCAGCAAGCCGTTATGGAATGAACGACTCGAAGATTTGCTACCATAAGTAGGAGCAGGTGGTGGTGGGTTTGAGGGTTTCTTGGATTCGGCTTTCTTGATCTCCACCTACAACATAAGCAACTAAGTTAACCTAATTTCGGCAGCAAGCAAACATTATAGTGTGCCCTCTCTTGAGATCTATACCTGCAACCATTTCTCAAGCTACAATTCAATTTCAGAAGAATCATACAAACAAACAAAAGAGTGGAAAAGATTGCAGAAGCGAAAAGAAAACAATCTTGGCCATTAAGTATGAAACAGGGCAGGGCCCATCTTGATAAGGATCCCAGTACATTGTGAACTCTTTTAAAACATCTGATTAAACTCACCTGGGTACCAGCCATATCAATCATATTCCCTTTTGACAAAAGTTCATCCACTACTTTTTCACTGTCAAAAATTATAAACCCAAAGCCTCGAGAATGATTTGTTTCATGATCACGTATGATTTGATGCTCTACAAATGTTCCATGTTTAGAAAAGAACTCCTGGAACTCATCTGCAAAAAATTGACAACACGATTACTAATCTTGAAAGAGGAAAAGTTCCTCTAATGCAAAGAAGATAATCCATTTAATGTCTGTTTGAGAAGCATCAACCACAATCATCAGCTGCTATACCTTCTCTGATAGAAGATGGAATCCCGCCCACAAATATTTTCTTGGTTTTAAAATCTTTCGACTGTCCAGATCCTTTAGGGATGGTTCTCTTTATTTCAACCTGCACAATTTCGAAAACTTAGGCACAATCAAACCTCAGAACCTCTATGCTGGTCAAATTCATTGAGCATAACACTAGGGTCGGTAAGATCAAGAAGCTAAATGAAATTCCAAATTGAAAATCCACCTGCTTCCCATTGATGACACGGGAGCGTTTAATGACCTTGTCGACAACTGAAGGATCAACATAAGTTATGAATCCACAATGTCCCGTGTAATGATCTTTCATGATGACCATGTCAGTTATCTCCCCATACTTTCCAAAGTGCTTGTTGAAAGTTGCTGCAATTTATTTCATCAAAACACACAATAAGCACATAATAAAATTCTTGAAATCCCCAAGCTGACATTAACAATGACCAAGGTCATTGTCTTGTTTCCTTAGAGACTCAATCCAAGGAATTTTCACTAGCCCAACATTCTTAAACAACCCAAAATCCCCCCAAGACAAACATCAACTAACCAACTCACCGTAAGTGGTGTCTTTGGCCACTCCATCTATGAAAATCTTCCCGCAAGGTGAAGAGTACAATGTCAATAGCTTCCCAACCACAAGTAAGCAAAGAGCCAAGTCCAAAAGCAGAACAACTACGAAAGCTAAAAGAGATTGGAACTTTTCAGTTAACTGGCATCCGAATTTCCAACAAGCGAACTAAAATTATCATACACTCTACAGAAAGATCGCAGAATTAGAGTAAAGAAAGTACGCACCCTGGGCTTGCACCATCACTATCGTTCCTCGACCTGGAACCCATCTCTCAGCTTGGCAGTTCGAGGCTCGAGAAATTCAATGATTGAGATGAGCTATGGCCTGTGGGTGGGGAGTTTGGATCGACGATAGGAGAGATACGAAGCTTTGAAGGGGAATGGAAAAAATTGTCAGGGTTTACTTGTTATTGTTCAGGCGGACTCCAGATTCCACTGTCCAAACCCAACCCGGTCCATGTTCACCTTTCAACGAGTTTGAGCGCATCATAATAATTTATGTGAGGTTATCCATTTTTTTTATAACGTTTAATTTCAAAATTAAACGAAGAACTCATTCATTTAACTCGAAACACACATTTTTTTACAGGGAAAATACATTTTATTAAGGATGAATGTTCCATACGAATTATATCTCTCACGTGCTTTATTGATATGAGAAATGTCTTAAGTGTTACAAAAAATAGTGGATAAGAACAATACTCCTTTTGTTGCTTTCTGGGCAGAAGGGTAAGGAGGGAAGGAAATGAAATGTGGACATGAACAAGAAAACAATGGTCATGGTCACTCTATAATCTAGACCTTTCACTCTTCATTGTAAAAGAGAGAACTTAAAAGCCAATACTACTAGCCTTGTAAATGAGTTAAGTAGAGTTTTGATCTAGCTTGAGCTCAATTTGTTAATAAATGGAACCAATTTTATTGACAAAAGGTAGTAACAAAATAGACCTAGTTTCGAAGCAAATACATTAACGGAATCAATTTTATCTTCCAAGTATCCTTATCATAGAAAGTTTAATGATTTCCTTTAATAATCTACACCATTATTCATCTTGATAAATTAGAGTGTATTCATGTAGAAATTAGTAGGTAAAATTAATTTATATAATTGATTGTGGTTGGATTGTAAAACTTTGACAATTAACATTGAAATGTGAGACATATTCCCGGAGATTTGAGACATATTAATAATATTAAGTTCATAAGTTTAATTGTTCATAGCATATTATTGAAAAGTAATTATATTAAGCAACCTATGATACGTGTTTCTCTTTTTAAAGAACAAATAATACATATTTGCTCACACATTCAAACTATTAAACATCATATATGGTGATATATAGAATCTCTATTAAACATATGAGCTATCAACAAGTCAATTTATAAGTAGATCGATTTGATCATAAGTCGCTAGTCGAACTAGCTGGTTAGCTAGCCACATTGTGACTCAGCACATAAATTTGCTCACACATTCAAACTATTAAACATCATATATGGTGATATATAGAATCTCTATTAAACATATGAGCTATCAACAAGTCAATTTATAAGTAGATCGATTTGATCATAAGTCGCTAGTCGAACTGGCTGGTTAGCTAGCCAAATTGTGACTCAGCTCATAAATTTAGCACAACAATTCACCGTATCAAACTGACTCATAAGCTTTGTAAGTTGAACAAAACATAAGTCGAACTTGACTCATTAGCATAAACAGAGTATCAAACGAGTCTTTCCAAACTCTAATTTCAAGCCGCTGATCAACAATTGCGCCCATTTGCAAACCTATTGCCAAGTTTAGACTTTACCCTACATTTGCTTCCCAGTGTTTTTTTTAATAATAATTTGCTTCCCAGTGTTAATACTTAATAATGATTATCACGGTTAATTAGTAATTAGGTCGAAACCCGAATTGAGTCGCTATAAATAAGTTATCCGATTCCCCTTTCTCTTTTTACCCTCTCTGTTTTCCCATCCCCATTTCTTGTACTTCTCTCTCCGTCCCTTTCTTTATTAGACCATCTCCAATAGGGGTTGGAGTTGGACGACAACAGCAATAACGACATTATTGGGGAAAGTTAAATACCATGAGCGGCGGCGGCAGTGCTCGTGGCGGAGGTGGTGGAGGGCCTGCTAGGGTTGCGATCCCAGATAATGCACGGAAAGTGATACACAATATCAGGGAGATCACTGGGAAGCAACACAGCGACGAGGAAATCTATGCCGTGCTTAAGGACTGCGCCATGGATCCCAATGAGACTGCTCAGAAACTTCTCTATCTAGGTATAAACAAGCTGTTGCGTTTGACACTGGAATGATATGTCAGGGTTTCTGTTTACGTTTTCAAAGATGCATTGTTCTAGGGTTTAATGGGTATCGTCTAATTCACTTTACCCACTCTCCTTTATAAAAGTACTCTGTGATCTGGGTTGGAAGGTCTCCGTGCTGTGTCGGTCAATGGAGCAACAAAGTAGCAAGCTTGATACTGCGAAGTAGTTGGATATTGCTGCTCTAATTAGAAACTATTTATCAGAAGGCTTAGCTGTTGTTTTCTTATCCTGATGTGGGGGGAGTGGGGAAGGACAGGTTCTTGATTATTGGTTTCCTTTTTGCTTCTGATTGTTTTTGTTGGAGGGGAAACGTTAACGAGTTCAGCAGGTTTTCTGGCTTATTTTCGTGGGTGTTCTTTCAAGTTCAAGCCTTATCCTTTTATGTTTGATTCTCTTAAAAGATTTCAAGAATACAGAGTGAAGGTCTAACCATACAACAGCTAACTATTCTGATGTTAATCCCTCCCTTGGATTCCTGAGAAACTTCCCTGCCACTGAAAAATTGGAGAATGTCTGACCATTGTATTAATGATTCCTGGGGCTAGTCAATCTGTTATTTCATTCTATTGATCTTCTTTAAGCACTATTGGTCTAGCAATTGGCTTATCCATGCTATGTTGTGATTGATTGTAATCTGCAGATACTTTTCATGAGGTGAAAAGGAAGCGGAAGAAAGAGGTGAGATATACTGTCAAAAAGTTCTTCTCATCCCGTGCTTCCAGGTGTTTGATTACTAGGGAACCTGCATCAGAATCTTAACAAAAAAAAAAAAAAAAATTGTTGGCTGTGATAGAACTGAGTATAGCCTTTTCAACTTGTTTAAATTCGTCTGACATGCACTTACATGTTTTCACAATATCCTTGACTGCTTACTTGGTAGATAGCAAGAAATACAGGAAAGTATCATACACAAAGGACTAAGGGCACATATACTTAGCGATATTAATGATGTTATAACCTTCTATGTTGCACTTGCACAAGCTTTCTTTTTGCCTCGATGATATAGTATGGCCACTTAAAACTATTACATTAGATTTATGGGATAACGAAGCAACTAAAATTGCACACTTGAAAAAGTTATGTTGTATTGCATTTTGAATCTAGTTATTCATGTGTTCTTGGGCTGTAGTTGAAGGAAACTGTATTATTTCATAATGTACTCTCAGATGATACCTTTTGACCTTGCAAAATATGAATTTGGTTCTGCATCTATTTAGTGTAACTTACGTTTTCTTGACTTGTTGGCTTCTGAATGATAACCCATTGTTTGTATCATTGCAGTCATCAAATGTTCAAGGTCAAGGGGGTAGGGGTGGTCGAGTAAATTATTCTGGTAACTATTGACCATACTGGTTCTGTTACAATATGCTTCGTGCTTTTCCCCCACTGCTGTGGCTGTCCTAGATGTAGTATGCTAAAAGTGTACCCCCCTGAATGCTGTGTTTGAGGTTGTTTACACTGGGAATGGAACATGTTTTGTGCCTGGGTTGACCTCCAGTGTAGATTCTAGGATCTCTTGTTGATCAGTTGAAGAATATTGCAATAGCTGTATCTTTTTCATATTTACTCATTCCAACTACTTTAGCAAGCATAAATATTTAGTCTTAGACCCCTTGTGTTGCGATGAAAGTTTCCATGGCTCAATGTTGTGTACTTATTAAGCATTTTATTGTCTAATTGGAAAAAAGGGCTTGTTGGTCTGGAATGCATCTTTGCAAGCAATATACAGAATTGTTCAATAACTGAAATACTGTCTTGGTGGCTGTTCCTTTAGATGGTGCTGGTGGGAGGAATGCAGCTCATCGAAAGGAAAATGGAGGGAATCACTTGAGAGAGAGAGTCCCGTCAACTGGTATGGCTGGAACGCAGAGACCACACAATAACCATCCACTTCCTCCACCAAAGTGGGTACTTGATTTGGTGTTTCGTTTTCTTATAATTCAACACTTGTACCATTCTGTCACTAAAAGGTTTTTGTGGCGCTTGTTCTGTTGTATCTTCTACTGTAGCAGAGTGGTGGCTGTCAACACAAGTGTCCCTTCAAATCTTGACAGTGAGAATCCTAGTCTTGGGTGTGGGTCAAAAGTTTCTGTTGATGATGTTGGAAAAGGCTCAAAAACTGGACTAGTGGATGCGAATAAGTTAGATGTGATATCAGAGACAGCTAAATTACTGCCAGTGTCTGCTCCTGATCAGACAGCTGATAGCTTGACTCAGAACGACCAAGGGAAGTCGGTTTCATCCATCAAGAATGTGCCGAAGTTAAATGCTCCGGGTTCTTATTCTTATGCGGATGCAAGTAAAAGAGTACGGAGTCGGTTGATTGCTACTGAGCCGAATTATGTTCAGGGAATTCGGCATGTTTCTGAAGCTGCCAAGCCACAGCTGACTAAAACTGAGAACGCTGGCCCTCTGAGTTTGAACTCTGAAAGGGTGTCCGGAAAACCAAAAGAAGCTGACAAGAGCCAGCTTTCTGAACTCCTCCAGCCCTTGACTTTGTCAACTGAAGACACTTCGTCGGTAATAGAGCCTTCTTCTGGGTATGATAGCCAGCTACCTCAGGTGTCTATCACACCTTCCAAAGGTAGTTACTTTGCCTCATGGCATGCTTCGTCAATTTCATATTCTACAATCTTCCTCGGTGTCAATGAGATTCTTCAGTGAAAGTCTAGGTCTAACAGTGACACAATTTCTTGGATCTCCTTTTTCACTGCTTCTAAAATTGGATTCTAATTGGCCTTTGTCGATCAGGTTCCTCACTTGCTGATGGACATGCAAAAGTTGGTTCTCAGTTGCATCCAGACTCTAAACCTGCACCTGCTGTTTCTAATGGACATGTTACTTTTCCTAATCACTTCAAAGTTCCTCAGGCTTTAAAGAGTGGACTCACCTTTGGAAGCTTTGAATCTAGTTCTAGCACTGGAATGAATTCCGGCAATGGTCACAACAGGGATGTCAAGTCTGCAAATGCTATTGAATCATCTGATGGGTCTGCTGATTCTGCAAAGGAACCATCCAGGTCTGTGATTTAATACTTGTTAAAACTATCTTCTGTGATTAAGGGGTTGTTTGGTTTAGTTACAATGCATGTATTGTCCACAATGCATTGTTTTTTTGAATTTTCTGCACTAACAATACATGCATTGTTTGCTTGA